TAAATGACTTAGATGACGTCTCCAAATTAAGCAAGGGGACACAAACCACGCCAGGGCATCCCTTCACCTTTCCTCTGTGCTACACGCGCTGTAATGCCTCGGATCCCACGGAGCTGAGATTTTTACACAGGCTTACAAAACAGTAGCTATGCCAGACACACCTCTTCCATAGCCTGTTGGGAAACGTAATACCCGCTTCACTTAGTGCGCCGTGTTTGGGAAACAGATGCACTGAAACGAAAGCCAACACGAGAGAACAACAGATGTTGTAGTTTGCTCACACCTCACCAAACAGAACTGCCTCATTCTCTCCAGTCCAATTTTCACAAGAGATCCTGCATTTCTCAGTCCAGTCTCCAACTGCAGCAGCCGGAACTGCCAAGCGACCTGGTTCCCAATAATGCCTTTCCCTCAGGTCATCAGATTTTTCCAAAGTAGAGAAAATGTTTTTTTAATTGAGTCATAGCAAATCTATAACTCAACGGAGTTCAATAAGAGCTGAATTGCTGTATGCCCATTAGAGAACACCACACTAAATGCACCCACGCTCTGGGCTGAATTTCTCCAGTGCCAGCACCGGAAGCTTTTTGCATGGAAGCAAAACGCAGTCAGGGGATTGATCTCACACTGGTGCTCTTGAAGGAGCCTCTGAGAATAGTACCTAATGCACTGTGCATTTACTGCGGTCATTTATGCTGTTCCAGGCTCAGGGAACATCATAAAAAGCCACAAGGCTGGAGAAATCAAATGTTCTAACATTTATTTAGAACAAAATTCCCTTCTCCCCTCAGCAGGGCACACCTTGGTTAGCAGTGCTCTACATGTAAGCAATGCTTCAACGGTGAAAGTGGGGCATCAAGGCCTGCGGGCTTTGCAGGCAGACCAGAGGCTTGTGACTTCCTCTACTGCTGAGGCTGATGGGTCAGAGACCTTTCTGCCGAGGGAACTGAGGGAACAAAGGCCAAAGGGAGACGTCAAATCAGGTAAAAAAAAAAAAAAAAAAAAAAACAAGAAAACAGACAACCGCTTCCAATCCCCCTGCACACTCACTGCTACCAGGATGGAGGGCCTGCAGGAGATGAGTTGCTGACAACATTTTGTCCAGCCACTAGCTCCTACTTCTAAAGCAGCCCAAAACTGGAAGCATGGCTGGGACAGGGAGCCGGCACCTGCAACACTCCTCCCCAGCAGCTCTGCCCACGCTGGAGGCAAGGGAGAGACCCCAGCAAGAGCAGCTGTGGTCCGGTAAAGA